TTTTTTCTTACAGACTTGTAATCATATTATAAATTTTTTGTACCAACATATCCCTATAGCACAGCCATCTCTATATAATCTTCACAAACATTTATTATATTTGCATAATGATTTGCATAATGATTCAGTCTCAATGCTTTTTCTTTTCTCAGTAATAGTACATAAAGCCTTTTCTGTGTTGGGGAAAATCTATCCTAAGGAAATAATCCTGATGTGGAGTTGCTAGTTGCTGGACCAAATGGTATTTAATGGTCACTTCATGATGCTTACAAACCCACAGGACCTGAGAATGAGAGGCAAAAAAGTGCACGTTCACTCTGAAGAAGCTGATTGCATGAGTTGTAAAAAGAGCTGCAAGTCTTGAGCGTGGCCCTTCAATCAATCGTTTGTATGAAACATCTGAGGGGAAAAGGCTTCCTCTCCAAACTGTAGCTTGCTATTACCATTAGGTTCAAAATCCTTGCTTTGTTGAGAAGACACACTTACTCTAAACAGTGATTTCTCAACTGAGGGAAATGCTAGAGAAAAAAAAAAAAAGAAAGAAAAAACCCTCTCCCATCTGCAAGTCTATTTTTAATTATATAAACATATTTTTATTTCAACCTTGTTTTTGTACAATCTCTGGACCACTTTAATAAAAAACCAGCTGCTTTTTTATGTAAGGGATGTCACAAAAGCAAAATATAAGTTGGAAAGTAAAGTTTCTGGAAAAGAACACTATCCAAATAAGGAATAAAAAGCCTTATTTAGTACTTTCACGCTACGCTTCCAACATTTTTACAGCAGAACAGTACAGCCCCTTAATTACCTGCACAGCTGATAACACAGATCACATGGCTCTACCCTCCACCTCCTGGGACACGTTGGCAGTTCCTGTTTTCTGACAATTTTCTGTCATCTCATAGCTACAGAAGCCTTCATCCGTGGTAGATCTTTTGCTCCAGAGGAATAAAGTAACATTTTCTATTATTATCTGTAATATAACAATATCTATTATATAATCTGAAAATATTATGGGGTAATAGAAGCAAAGGTCATGCGTGTTGACCGTCATGTGACTCCAGCCATTAATTAACCAGGTACAGAAGAAGCTCCATTGCTTCTAAGGACAGGTATGTAGTGTCTGCCATGAATAAGAGGTCCAAAAAATTTTTCATGAAGCAAATGACTACTTTGCTATTTTCATTTCTATTTTGGTAGTCTATCAGTCTCCTATTGACATCTGAAGGAGGCTTACACCCGCTCTCCAGAGATGATCCACTAAAAGATGCTATGGTTGGCTATCGAAAGAATCATTCATCACCATCCCTCTCTTCAAGGGCTGGAAATCCTTTTGCTTGCCTCCCCAACCACCCCTTCAGCAACGGGTGGTGGTCATGTGGCAGAGACTACTGGAAAGGAAAGCTAGTGAAGGTTCCTGGCAAAGTTTTTGCTTTCCTGATAAAAGAGACCAATGGGTGGTGCCAAGCCTTCCCCTGCTTCTTAACTTGAATGCGCATATAAGTTCCAGGGCTAGTCAATCATCTTATCATTATGAGAGAAAGAGAACTGTAGAATCCTTGGCCCTGACATCTTTGAGCTGATAAACCCCAAATTACCTATATCCAGATTCATTATTAAATGAGAAAAATAACTCAGTTTGTTTAAACCATTTAATAATCATATTTTCTACTGCATCCTGCCCACAGCATCATGATTACTTCCTGATAACACAGATCGAGTCTCTTTGTGTCATCACTTCCAGCTTTCTTCAACTTCAAATGAAATGATCACAATTTTTAATCAAGTTAACACAATTAAATATATGTACAATAAACCCTGTGTATATGTTATTATAAGGGAAGGACACCTCTGTCATCCTGGCTATACAATAGCAAACGAAAATTTGGCAGTATTTGGGCTAATATTCTATGAGACTCTGGTGAGGGATTAACATATGAATTATTAATCCTTATTTTCCAGTTTATATTTTTCTTTTATAAGAATATAAGGAGTTACATTACATATTTTAAGTTCACATATGAGAAACTATTTTTCAATATTGAAAGTTAAAGCAACTTAGACTGTATCAGTGATATGAGTGTCCAGTAATTTATTCTGATATTTTTCATACCAACTTAAAAATAAATACACAGCTTATTTATATTAAAACATGCTTTTAGTTTATTAAAGGTTTTACATACTGGCTCATAAAAGAATTATAAACTTCTTAAAAAATAAAATTTATACATAGTATAGCTTTTATTGAATTATATGAGATGAACTTTTATTTATACATGTTAAATCTTTGGAAACAAAAAAATAATGAAGAAACTAAAATTACAACTTCCTGTGTTTCTTGTATGCTCAGATCCCACCTTCTAGAAGCTGTTAAGTAAGAAAGGCAAGGGAGATATACCAGACAAGTGATTATCCGACACACATTCTGATGGAAACCTGGTAAAGTCTGCTAACTCCTCTGGGTTTCAAAATTTATCCATAAGGTGGAGAGAGCTGCAGGATCCATGTAAGTAAAAGGATCTGGATTTTAACCACTGATTCTAAGGGGGCCAGTGTGCTCTTGAGTCAAAAGGTAAAGCTCTTATCTATATCAAAAGAAATGACTCATATCCAAAAGTTTGACAAACAATTAAGGGCTTAAATTGTGCAATGTTTTCCTATCTTCCCCAGAGGCAACCTCAATTACAGAATTTTTAGTTTGAAATGTGAAATTAATTCAACGTGAGTGCTGATAATATGCCCTTCAGTTAGTAAAGAAAGGTGGAGGAGAGAGAAAAAGAAAGAAAAGTATTTTCACTGGGAGATAATTTTACATGTAGAAATCTACAATTTCAAATACATCCAACCTCAATGAACAGTAAAAAGAAAATACTCTAGCAGTTCATATTATACATCACTGCAGACACTAAGTTCCCACAATTATTTTTGCTAAATATTGCACTAAACTTCAAGGGATAATCAAGAGTTATCAATACAAACTAAAACTTCACGCAAAATATCACATGATAAATCACGATTTTTTTGTATGAAACTAATGTCCTTAAAAAAATAGGTAATGTGTACTGAAAACAGTACTATGCCAATATTTCCCACATAAATAGGTTTCTAATGCAAACTAGCTATAAGCTAGAGAAAATAATCAACCACCCAACAAGGCAGACTGTATTTTTTTGTTTCATTCATTGCCTTATGAAAAGGGTTAATTATCTTTAAAAGAAAAGGGCTTTTTTGGCTATGATTTTTATTTTATTAAGTTATTAATTGACTTATTTCTAACACTCAAAAGTCCCCATTTAGCAAGCACTGAAGGCTCCAGACCAGAAAACATTTTGTGTTTAAAAGTGTAATTCCATGAAATTCATTACTTCATACTGTAAAAAGATAAATTAGTACATATACTACAGGTCTGTGCTATTCAGTACAGACCAGTGACCTGATGTGGATAATGTACATTTAATGTGGCTAAACCAAATTAGTAAAATACACACCAGATTTCAAAGAATTGGCACAGAAGAATAATAGGAACTATCTTAATAATTGTTTACATTGATTACATGGTGAAATGGTAATATTTGGGATCTACTGAGTTAAATAAACTATATTATTAAAATTAACACCAGTGGTTTCTTTTTATCTTTTTAATGTGACTACTAGAAAATTTTAAATTACATAGTATATGGCTCACATTATTTTTCTATTCTATAGCACTGCCACAGAAACAGCAGACTCAATTACATGTTAATATTAATCCCAACCCGTATCATTAAATTTTTGTATAATTATGGTATTTGAGTTAACATTGAGTTAAAACATATTTAACCCATTACTGCAAAAGGCCTGAGCTTAGAATCAACTATGCCTCTATGCTTAAAAACAAAACCAGATAAAACCTGCTCTAATCTTTTTCATCTTCTGTGTATTGGCAAGTGTGCTAAACTTTGGTTAGAGATGAGTCAGCAAACAGGCAAAAAGGGTCTTTCTGGTTGATAGAAATGTTCTAAAATTGGATTGTGGTAATGACCGCACAACTATAAATGTATTCAAATCACTGGATTGTATACTTCCAGCCAGTTAAGTTGTACAGCTGTAAATTATACCTCAATAAAGCTGTTTAAAAAAAAAAAAAAAAAAAGTGCCAACTAGAGCCCAGCAGATCTAAAGTGCCATCTAGAAACTGCATATAAATTTCTGGTGATTCAAATATTATTTTCAATCTATCATATGACTCAATATTGCAACAATTTTTTTTCCATGAGGGTCCTTTTATGTGCAATGGATCCAATTCAACAGTAGATTATATGATCACTAATTGAGGTGTAAGTTGAAAAAGAGAGAACGTTAGAGTCGCTGAGGGGATAATTTATTTGCTTTAGGGGTAACCCAGCTCAGGAAATCTTATTGCAAATGCCTCACACAGTCTGGGCACCCTATAATTGGACATCCATTGGCATTTCACCAAAACAGAATACTAGAATACAAAAAAACCCCATATTAATAAAAGAAGAAGAAGAAGAAGAAACAAAACAATGGTTACAGTAAGCACCACATGAAGAATTCACACTGAACAGGAAGATAGATTTCAAGACATGTGCCCAAACACAAATATAAATACAAACATTTGCACGGATATACTGAGTTGCCTCAAGGTCTCATTTAAGAAGTAAATCAGGTGATTATTCAAAAGCCAGAGAATCATCTGGAATGTTAAAATCATTCAGGAACGTTCATTTAAGGCAGCCACAGAAGCAAGGGACCTAATATAGTCCATGCTAGGTCTAAAATGACTCATCCAGGCATGTGGACAAATCTATGAATGTATTTGTTAAAGTTCCAGACTGAAGTTATGTCACAACTGTGAATGTCTATGATGTAGTTAGAAATACTTTATGAGGTGAGTGATATTTTAAAACTGAAATGTGAACATGGGATCAAATAAGACTGAAAATGTGATTATTTTCCTACAGAATATCGGATACTTCTCAGAATTAAAAGCTATTTCTTAAGGGCTTATCTTAAAAAAAAAAAAACAACAAACTGAAACGTGAACAAAACTCTCATTGAATTTGCTTTCTAGACAATTTGCTGTTGGTGAATATAGGATACCACCAGCCAGTTCACACAATCCAATCACTGTGGTGTCCCCAGCACATATGTTTTTTGTACATTTTATTCATGCATAAATGCTTTTTAGACCTTCCAAAATAAACGCACAGAAAGATACAAATACATTTTTAAAGATATCCACAAAATAATGTTGTCTAGGTATCAAAACAATTATATTTGAATTGTATCTATTCTTACTGTATCTATTCTTTTTCTTCTTATTTTTTTAATACTTAAAGTAGTACAAGTCACCTGACAATGAAGCTCACCTTTATAAAATATAAAGAACCTTTTTGTAGTCCAAGATATTGGCAAACTCACAGAGCATACCAAAAGTAAAGCACTAATATATAACTTCCAAAAATAGTTAAAACTTAGAAAATGTTCATAAATCTCTAAAACAGATGATTTTTAACTAACAGCATGAAGCTTGTGCTTTCTCTAATTTCCAAGTAGCCAAAATATTCATACTGAGGCAATATTCAGTTTCTTAAGAGTTCAGGTCAAAGAAGTATACTACTTCCACATGGACGTCTGTCAGACTCTCCATGCTTAGACACACTGCTGTATCAAACACCATGCAAATCACCGCCTAATTTTCCTACAGGCTACATAGAAGAAAGGAAAGGATGATTTTCACAGGCCATGAAGCTGAGAGAAAAAGTTGATTCGGGGGGACTATCGTACTACAAGTTTAAAGGTATTATGCCTTTTGTAGGGCTTTTTGTAAATCACCATAGAAGTTGATTAAAGTGCTGGCCATGGCTGTATCTACCGCAGACTGAGGAATCATCCCGCGCAGATCCGTCTGAATGTAGCCGGTCAAAAGACTCTGGTATGGACTGTCTTTAAGCGGAACACAAAACCAACCACAGGGATGGTTATAGCCACGAATAAATTCTGGTCTCTTTTCATTCCAGTCAACACTTAGCCCTACAAGGAAATTTTAAAATAACACCATTAATGGCAGTGACTGAGATTAGTCTACAACTCTCATTAAACAATATTATCAGATTTCCTGTTTAAACATTTTTTCTTCTTATCCATGTAGATGAAAACTAAGCCCCAAAAGTGACCATGGAAGAATGAAAAAGATAATTACCAAGTAGAATTCTGGCAGAGGTCTAGAGGTAATGGGGAAAGTTCTAATCCCATCAGAATAGGTAACATTATATCATCTTGGTAACTCCTTGGAAACTATGAATCTTGGCTGTAGCATCCAGGCCTCAAGGTGCCCCAAATCAAAATGACAGTACCACCACTACTCCCTAAAGACACTACTACATCCAACTTTGGTACTGGCTGGTTAAGAGTAAACAAGTAGATATTTACCTAAAACTGCCAACTCAAGTATATACTATACACAGAAAAAGACTGATTTCCCTATAGATATATTTTAGAAAGCAGGAGCCTTCTAATAGCAGTATTATTCTTTTTTTCTTTAAGATTTTTTTTATTTATTTATTTGATAGAGATCACAAGTAGGCACAGAGGCAGAGAGGCAGACGGGGGTTGGGGGTTAAGGAAGCAGGCTTCCTGCTGAGCAGAGAGCCCGATGCAGGACTCAGTCCCAGGACCCTGAGATCATGACCTGAGCTGAAGGCAGAGGCTTAACCCACTGAGCCACCCAGGTGCCCAGTATTCTTCATTTTTAGAAGAAAAATATTACACAGCTCAAGGAAGGAAAAATATTCTAACACATACCAGTGTGTTATGTTTATGACCAAGAAGCTGTTTTCTGAGAGTGACTTAATCTATTTACTACAACCCTTTCTCAGAGGCAGGCATGTGATTCATATTTCTCAGTGGTGACCTGGAAGATACCACATAACTGAGAATAAAAACTTACCAGAAAGATTTCAAAACCCTTCTTGATATTGTTATTTTAATTGCTATGATGTAGCATTTGCAAAGCTTAGTATAAAATAAGTGTGAAGGCTGAAAATATATCTCACATAGAAACATCTAGCCAAGAAACCTCAAATATTTAAAACAAATGAAAAGAAATCATAATGTTTTGAGATCATTACCACAGGACAAAAGCCCTTCTTCATAGCCCACAGTGTAGGAGAAATCAACAAACTCTCTTGGGGAAATTATATTCCAAAGCTGACCAGCGGTAGTGTAACGCATCACACAGCAATTCTGAAAGAGAACAGGTAACAGGTATTACTACTTAGGAAACATATATAGACTCATATATCATAACTTAACCCTTAGTAAAAAACTAAGATTCATTTAAAATGTATTTATAAATTATTATTAATAATAATTCTTACAGCGATGCTGACAGGTTTTCATCTCTATTCTAAATCTCACTGCCATTTTATGAGCATGAATAAGGTATATGACCAAAATACAAAGACGTAAGTTACCCAGTATCTAAATCTCTAACTCAATGCAGTGGCTCTGTATCCTATATGATATTCAACATGGAAGTAGGTGGTGTAGACTACAGGTGTTTAGCATAAAATCCACAAATATTTGGACTAAAATACCAAATGTTTCAATAAAGAAATTCAAACATGGGAAGAATGAATTAACAAAAATAGAAAAATAGAAAGAAATAGAAAAAAAAACACTTTGGTTACATCATTCTCTAATGCCTAAGGTTGCATTTTTATCTTTGGTCTTTGATTTTGGCTTAACATTAGTGGAAAAACCTACATATGATTACCTAGAAACCTGCATATGATGGTGTTGTCTTTAGAATTTTAGATTTCAGAACCTCAAGTTCAGTTTTTTTTTTTATTTTTTTAAGATTTTACTTATTTATTTGACAGAGAGAGAGAGAGAAAGAGATCACAAGTAGGCAGTGCAGCAGGCAGAGAGAGAAGGGGACGCAGGCTCCCCGCTGAGCAGAGAGCCCGATGTGGGGCTCGATCCCAGAACCCTGAGATCATGACCTGAGCTGAAGGCAAAGGCTCAACCCACTAAGCCACCCAGGCGCCCCTCAAGTTCAGTTTTACAATTAAAGATGCTGGCAGTTTTCTTAAGCAGCAAGGGTAGCGCTACTGTGGAAAACAAACTCCGTTCTGACTAATACTCATTAGTTAATATGAGAAAGCTCAAGCTTTTTAGAAGGCAGAAAGGATTCCCCTGTGAGATCTCTGCCATGACTACTTACTCTCCAATCAATGAATACAAGTGGGTGCCCATACTCACACTCACATGCTCTCTCTTACAGGCAAACACACAAAATCTGAAGTAATGTTTCTCAATAAATACCTCCTCGAAGTGTTCCAAAATATCCATTGAAGTCATTAAGCTATCCCAATCCAAGCGACAGGGACCTGGGCGTATATGGTCTATAACACTATTGACGCTGTCATCTATAACACCTTGCGCTTTGAAACTGGAGAAAAAATATTAAGGTCAAATGCTGTTAGAAAGAAAAATTTCAGTATGCCCTCATAATTCAGAGCTAACTTCAAAAAAAGGAAAAGTTAATTAAGATTTTTGTAAAGGGAGTAAATCCCAAAAGTTTTTCTGATAAGTTCTATCAATTATTTTATTAGAATGTACTCTTTGCCCTCAAATCTAACAAGTGATCTGAAGTCTAAATTAAATGAACATAGGAAAGTACCTTCATGTTACAGTGCAACTGAAAACCGTCCATACAACACTCACACTTCATTTATTCTGTATGCAATTCCTTTCTCAGTTAGGCTCTAAGATGTTACTAGTGTACACATATTTTTACTCTGACTTTCAAAAACTTTTTTACAGGAACAGAAAAATAGGTCATCCAGGAATAGCACACAGAGGAATGACTCATGAATAATATCAGAACTTGACATATTTCAGAGGTGGCATTATGTATCAGTGGGGAAAGGATGTATTCTATTCCATAAATGGCAGTTTGATTCAATACTTACACTAATAGAGAAATTAAAAACTGAATCACTGTTTGACACCATTCAAAACAATTACTTCCAGACAGACTAAAGACTACTACGTAAAATTTAAAGCTTTGAGAAAAATACATCTTTGTGACCTCAGGATACAGGGGGATTTCTTGAATACATAAAACAAAAATACAAATAATACAAGACAGTTAAAATTAAAAACTTGCATACCACAAATGACAATATAAGTAATTTCTTCAAAAACCAGCCATAGACTGGAAGAATGAATGTGTAACACATATAAACAGACATAATTATTCTAGAGTATACATAATTAATTCCTATAAACCAATGAGAAAAAGATAATCCAAAGAAAATAAGTACAAAAGATATGTTAAGATTGATCGGAAAAGTCAATAAATTAAGGAAAGATGCTCATATTCACTTGTACTCAAGTAAATACTAACAGGATACCATCTCATACCCCTGAAATTGGCAGAGTAAAAACATAAGAAGTATTGAATGGAAGGGAAAGAGAGCTCTCAAACTGCTACCACCACTTTAGAGAGCAATTAATTTGCAATGTCCCTAGTGTAGTTGAATGAAGCATACCCAAAGAAAATCACACATGTGTTGAAGGAGACATATACTAAAGAAGTTTACTATAGCACTGTTATTTTATAAGGAAGAATTGTCAACAACCTAAAAATTTACAAACACAGGTAAATACATCGTAGTATTTTCATATGAATGTGAAAGAATAGATCTACATGTAACAACCTGGCTAAATCCTGAAAAAAACACTGTATTAAATGGAAAAAAATCAAAAGCAAATTACTAATTACAAATTACTAATCAAAAGCAAATAACTAATTACACACACACACATATATGTGGTAAAAGCATAAAACAGGAATACACACTTTGAGATAGTAGTTACCTCTGGGGAGGAAAGAAAAAAGAAGAAATGAGAGCTAGATTAGCTTTAACTATATCAGTAACATTTTGGGCAGGTCTTTTTAAAAGTTTTTTTAAAGCATCTGAAACTGTTTTATCATTTTGTAAGTATTTCCACCTCAAACTTATATGATCTCCCACATCCTAAATCTGATCTTCCCTCCTGTGTTCTCTGACTTGGGGTGGAAGGTGGGAATAGGGCAACACAAATGAATCCCAAATTAGACATCTGGGATTCAACTTTTAACACTTCTTTTTCTCTTGATCCCATTTCAACAGTCAAAACAAAAGTCACCATGTTTTATCAAGATGACTTCGTAAATGTAAAGCGCTTGGAACAATATCTGGCTCTCAATGAATGTTAGTTATTATCACCACCACCACCACTAGATCCCTTTCACATCCACTTGCCCTTTTCGACTCCCATACTATGTCCTTAGTTTGAGCACTGTGTGTCCAGCTCAATACTGCAACCATTTCTAGCTCTTTGGACCACATCTCCTTAAGTTTCTGAAAAAACAAACAGACAAACAAACAAAAAAAAAAACCACAAAGATCTCTTCCCAGGAATATAACATTGACACAAAATTATGTTTATGATCTTGAGGAAACTTCAAGAAGATAGCCATGGACTCTAAGGGTAAGACCTCTTCTCTAAACTCTCCATGCGGTCATTTCCATTTTTCACAGTGCTATCAGATTAAGTTCAAAATCTTTGAGGACCTGGGAGGTGGAAGTAAGGGTTGAGCAAAGGTAAGCACAATATTGAATTCCTTACTTCAGAATTCAAAAATCCTGTAGACATATGCTCTCTCTATCCTCATACTTTATGCTCCAGCTATACAAACATCACTTCTACTTCCCTAAACAAACTCCTTAGAGTGTTTCCCATCTGTGTTTATGTAATAGATGCAATCCCCTCTGCCTGGAATATGAATCAGTTCTTCGTTCCCTAAGAAATAACCCATTCTTCCTTTAAAGCTCGGTTCATACACTAACTAAGTCTTCAATGAAGTCCTCTCAAATTACCAAGCATTATGCTTCCTTGGCACATTTTGTGCTTCTCAACCCCTACTGCCAATCAGTGATCTAAAGGATTAACTTCACACTTGCTTACAACGCTTAATCCACAACTCCAGTTTCCTCACCCTCATCATAAATATTGTATAAGTCATCTTTCTGGAAATGCTATCTTTGGTATTATACTTAGAACATACAGTAAGTGGAACCCACAGTTTCATTTTTAAAAGGACTGAGAGTCCCAAGGATATGAACATTCCACTCCAATTATACAAGGCTTTGTATAGCCTTTAAAAATTATACAATTATACTCCTGGCTTTAAAAAACAATATTAATTTTCTGGTAAAAAGCATAAATTCGTGTTCACCTATATGCAAATATCAAAAAATGGAAATAGAAATCACCTATAAAACAGGCATCTAGAGGTGTGTATTTGTTGTTAAGTAAAAACATTCTAATATATAAAAATTAAAGTCAACTCACAATTCTGCTACATGCAGTTTCATATCCTGCTTTATTCACTTTACATCTTGAGGATTTTCTTGTGTTTTAAACTAATATTTGAAAACACAGTTTTTAAAGACTGTAAAATATCATGTTTCAAAATTTAACCATTTTATGACTATTGATTATTCAAGTTGTTTGTAATTTTTAATATTATAAGTAATGCTGTGATGAAAGAGATATGTATTTATTAACTTCCTTATGATTTCTTTAAGAAAGATTCTTCTTTTTTTTTTAAGATTTTATTTATTTAGTGAGCACAAGAAGCAGCAGCAGCAGAGAGAAGGGAGAAACAGACTCCTTGATGAGCAGGGAGCCCAATGCAGGACTTGATTCCGGGATCCCGGGATCACGACCTTTGCCAAAGACAGCCACTCAACCAACTGAGCCACCCAGGTGGCCCTAAGATAAATTCTTCAAGTATGCTATAGCACTGAGTAAATATAGAAGAATACTAGAAAGGGTTATACACTGTGCTAAGAAATTAAGATTTTTATTGGCCATTTGATATCATTATTTATGATTTCCCTTACTACCAACTCAGTCCACAAGGAATATGGACACTTTAAAGGCTTTGAATTTGTAAGGTGAATATGCTTCTCAGAAAGTTTAAAATCTTAAAAGCCAAATTTTAGTGGCAATGATGATTTAGTGATCATTTATATATATACGAAGTCTGGCAATGTCTTAAGAGCTACCTAAACCTACAAGAATTTACTTACAGGTATCCATTAAATTCTTCTGAAGGTTTTCTCCAAATTGTTACATCTTTCTAGAAAAATAAAAAAACAGTATAAGGGCATAAATCATTACTTAGGTGGAACTCTGGATATAAAACTGACAATTTCAAATTCTACAGCATCAGTCTTTGCATTTAGAGATACATAAAAGTCACTTATACCATCAATTGATCCATATTTGAATTTCTTCTGTATCCTAAAGTCCTTCACATTGTGCTTGAAGTACAGACGTCCAAAACAGATTTTTCAGTCGCTTAATGAGATGCAAACCTGTTAAGATCCTCACCAGCCATTATTATTTGTTCACTCTAGTCTTATCTATTTACCGTTACGGACACATTTGGCCCAAGACAAGAGGAATGGTAAATATTTCATTCTGAACTTGCTTGTATCTTCTTTAAAATCAAACAATTCACATCTATAATGACAGTGCTACCTTGAATTCGTCCCTGCATCTTTTTTCTGATCATTTCCCAAGAAATTCTGAATATCAGACTAGCTAGAGTACTAACTACACTGAAGAGTCCTGGGTTCCAGGGTTGGCTCTGTCAACACTCAGCCACGTGATAGTTTGGACCAGTTATACCAATAGAAAAGAATATTAATTGGCCACCCTCACAAGCTTGTTGACATATTTCAAACTATCAATACATGTTACATTTTATATGTTGACTTTAGAAGCTATTCTTTAGGCTCCTGTTGCCAGTCTATTCTCATGTCCAATATCTAAAGAAGTAATGAAAGCAGTAGAGGATTACTGTTTTGCCTTGGTGAGATGTCAAACCACCAGCTTTATTAGCTTATTTATCCTGCCATCCACCCAAAGTATGGTCCCCATTTTCCTTTAGCATTTTGAAAGTCATCAACCAACTCATTGGATAGAACATAAATGCCATAAGAGGTAATTTAAATAATTTACCGTTTTCTTGGCAACTCGCCACTTATCATCTTCAATGCTATGATACTGTATGAGAATGTTCTTAAGTCTAGTTGCAAAAGCAGCAGCATTAGGCAGGCCTTCCATTTTTTTTCTTCTGTTACAAAGACAAAGATTAGCATCAGCAAATACCACAATTTGAAGCAGTAGACCACTGAGTCTCAAATCTGGTTTCATAAGAGAATCAACTGGGGAGCCATAAAAGATACTTATACCTGGATCCCACTCCCAATCAACTAATCAGAATCTCTGAGAGTAGGGCCTGGGCATAGGTTTTTTTTTCCCCTAAAAGTTCCCAAGATGAGTAACACCAAGCCAAGGATGAGCATCACACATTTTAAGTTATTAAAATCACTCATATAAAAATAAACTACAATCCTCATTCCCTTTCTAAAGGAATATAATAAAAAGAAATACATTTTAGAATTCTAGATGACTTAAAGAAAAAATACTGCTGTTTCCAAACTACAAAAATAAATACACAAGGAATAAATTCTTTTACAAATTCTTTGGCGTTTCAGCCATTAAATTTTTTAATTTAACAACCAACAAATTTAGAACTCATTCTAGAAAACTAATGACAAGCACAACTAGAAACCTGTTCACACATTCTTTCAGATTAGGGTTACAGAACTCTGAACAACTTCAAAAGTTTGAAGAACTGCACCATTTTCAATATTTTATTTCATTTGATGAAGTGCTGTAAGATTTAGTAAGGTATCTGTATAAGGAAGTCATATGAAGACTTTTAGAACCATCAGTACCGTATAAACAAATGGTTCATAATTTTAAGGCAATAATTTTAACCATATAAAAAAAGAAAAGTACTATATCGTTACTAATTCCAAAGATAAGCTACTTTTCAACATTGTTTCTAAAAAGAAATGATTGTTAACCTTTTTTTAAAGACTTTATTTATTTATTTGACAGACAGAGATCATAAGCAGGCAGAGAGGCAGGCAGAGAGAGAGGAAGGGAAGCAGGCTCCCCGCTGAGCAGAGAGCCCGACGTGGGGCTTGATCCCAGGACCCCAGGATCATGACCTGAGCTGAAGGCAGAGGCTTTAACCCACTGAACCACCGAGGCACCTGAGATGATTGTTAACCTTAAAGATAATAAACAATATAATGAAGCCTTCTGTAATGTGACAGTTTTAAAACACTGCTGCAAATTCTTTAGTACACTTCCCATCAAGAGGTAGTCTGTGACTGCATGACTTCTTAGGATGAGTTAGAAATGTCCATGCAGGTTTTATAGGTTTCTTTTAGACTAATTGCTCTGGGAGCCTTTGATCAACATGCAAGCATGCAAAAACTCTGGTTATCTTGAGTCTGAAATGTGGAAAGACTGGAGTGAAGGGGAAATAGGGAGAGAAATAGGACTCCAAAGTCTCAGATCCAGAAGCCTAGTTAGATCTTCATTCTAATGGCTATCACCCTAAGCTTCCCTTAATTTTACTGTCTTCCCCATCTTAACAATTTACTTGTATTTTACTTTATTTTTATTTATTTATTTTTTAATATGGGCTCCACATCCAGCATAGAGCCCAACATGGGGCTTGAACTCAGGACTCTAAAATCAGGATCTGAGCTGAGATCAAGGGTCAGATACTTAACTGATTGAGCCACCTAGGCCACAACCATTTCTTTCTTTCTTTTTTTTTTTTAAAGATTTTATTTATTTATTTGACAGAGAAAGAGAGATCACAAGTAGGCAGAGAGGAAAGCAGAAGAAAGAGGGGGAAGCAGGCTCCCCACCGAGCAGAGAGCCCAATGCGGGGCTCAATCCCAGGACCTTGAGATCACGACCCGAGCTGAAGGCAGAGGCTTAGCCCACTGAGCCACCCAGGCACCCCTCAACCATTTCCTTTTAAAATGGAATTGAGCCAGTGGCTCAAAGACAAAGCCTAGGAATCACCCTTAAAAGAAATTAAGAGATTCCTATTCATACCACCAGGTCTCATTGCCTAGAATATTGTCCTACTTATTTTCTTTCTGCCCCTCAAATAGGCCAAGCTTGTCACTGACTCTGGGCTTTGTTTTTGCTATTTCCTCTGCCTGGATTATTCGATCCCAAATCTGAGCATGACTAATAACTTGAAATGACAATTTCACTTTAAACCTATCTTAATACAGCCATCTCCAAGTCTCCATTACATCCTTCTTTTATTTTCTTCATAGTGCTTATCACAATCTAAAATTAACTTGTTTTTTTATTGGTATACTGTATTCTACCCTTTTACCATCACATCCCTAACTAATAGAGCATGAGCCTTTAACTGTCTTGTTTAGCACAATATCCCTACCTACTAAAACGTTGTCTGGAACACAAAAGGCCCTTAATATTTGGTGAAGTGTGTTCACTTCAAAGCAAGAATTATTTGGTCTTGATTTTGTGTACTTTAGGTTCCTTGGTGCACTCCAGTAAAAGAATATAGAAAAAGCTTCTGGGGAAAAGCTGCATGATTTACAGAACCATCAAGTTACTACTAAATAGGAAATCAAGAAAAGATCTAAATGAAATGTCAAGCCTCAAACTTCTATGTGAAAAAGCTGTAATTCTCACCTACAGATGCATACCTCAGAATCCCCTTTGTCATATTTTGTAGTAGTTGTAGCTGTTGACAAAGGTTCCCTTCCCTTCCTCAGAGGACTCCTCTGATTCCTCTTTTTGACCAGGCCTTGTTCTTGGGATTGTCCTTAGCTTCCTAAGTTCAGTTTTAGCAAGAAACCTGCTGAGCTAGCTTACTGAAACACCCTCAAAAATTCCTCATCCTACCCTTGATCTTATCATGCTGCTCTGCATTCAGCAAGAACCCTTAAGTCAATTTAGCGAGAACCCTTACCCCTAATGTTTCCTCTTAGCAATTTCCCATCCATTGACACCTATCCTGCTCCTTGGCTACAAATCCTCACTGTCTTTGTTGTATTCAGAATGGAATGTAACTTTCTTTCTTTTTTTTTTTTTTTTTTTAGGATTTTGTTTATTTATTTGAGAGAGAGCAGGGTGGGGAACAGAGGGGGAGAGAATATCCAAAGCAGACTCCATGCTGAGCATGGAGCCGGACAAAGGGCTCAATCCCCATGACTACAACATCATGACCTGAGCCAAAACTAAGAGTTGGAGGCTTAACCATCTGAGCCACCCAGGCATTTCCAGAACAGGGTACAATTCTATACTGAGTTATCTTTTCCCCTATTGCAATAGTTCTTTTTTTTTTTTTTTTTTTTTTTTAAAGATTTTATTTACTTATCAGAGAGAGAGAGAGCGAGAGTGAGCACAAGCAGATAGAGTGGCAGGCAGAGGCAGAGGGAGAAGCAGGCTCCCCACTGAGCAAGGAGCCCGATGTGGGACTCGATCCCAGGACGCTGGGATCATGACCCGAGCCGAAGGCAGCGGCTTAACCCACTGAGCCACCCAGGCGTCCCTGCAATAGTTCTTGAATAAGATTTGCCTTTACCATTTTAACTTCTATCTGCCTCTGGGCTTTTTGTGACACTGTTTTTAGATGTTAGATATCAGGTTCCACTGCCACATAGTGTGATTCAGTGGGCCTATTCTGGAGTAGGCCCCCAAAATCTAGGTTCTGTAAAAAGCCTTGCTGATCATTCTGTTATTCAGCCAGGGTTGAGAAACACTATCTAAAAACTAAAGATGATAGAAATAAATCACTATTGTAGTCAGTATTTAAATAGCATAGAACAAAGCATACAAGCTATTAAAAATGATAAACAAGATGATACAGAACTGTAGGGGAAGAAAAAACCTTTTTCTCTATTCTCTTAGGTTCTGTCTTTGGGACCTGCAAATTAAACTGAAAGAAGGTATATTAACAGTACAAAAGACACACAAATTTTATTTGCTGTTAATATTTTATTTTTTATATACATAGAGGCCTTCACAAAAAAGAAGGAAATGGAGACCCAAAAAGAGCACTTAGACTTGGAGCTTATACCCCATTCTAACAAAAGGCAATAACTTGTGGAAAAGTGACAAGACAAAGAAAAGGGATTTGGGCTTCTAAGGGTGGTGAATTATGAGAAAGTTAATAGAAAAGAAAGGTTATTGTAGTAAAGTTTGTTTGTTCAGACAATCTTGGTGCCACTCTACCTCCAGTGATGAGTTGTTCTCCTCCTAGTATAGGAGAGGAGAGGGAAGACCTTCACAAAGTGAAATTTATGCTCTACTTTTAAGTAGTAGAGGGAGGGAAAACAGCTCTTTCTGCAGTTGCTGCTGAACTGCCTTCAGTTCAAAATAATCCTTATTCCAAAATTTTGGGGTGGTATATCCCAAAATATGGGAAACGTGGGAAAGTATATATAGAAAATTCAATAAAATAGAATTTAGGATCTATGTAAGTGATGCAAAATATATAATAAATATAGAACCCACCCATCGATTAAAAGTGGGTAAGATCATCCAAGCAGTGTGCCAGTCAGGAAAGTATCCCATTTCTCCTCAAGAGACTGCCAATTTGATAGCTGGTACAATGACCTTAATCAAGGATATGTTATAAACTAGCACAAATTCTTAGAGAAGACTTGAAAAACTAATTTATCTATTGCTGGGATCGTTATGATTAAACAGTATTCTTTAAGTCCAAAGGTTGCCTGCCAGGTTCCTGTGGTTGGCAGGTAAGATATTTCATCAAAGATGAAATGTAAAAATGCTATTATCACAGATGATGTTATCTTTGTATAAATCCATTACACAAATGTAAGCAATAAAAACTACCTATAAAGATGAGAATCTGGATCTTTAAGATGCTTACCTTAGTAATCATTCCCTCTTACTGATCACTATGAAGTCCAAACTCCTTGAAATGGCTTATGGGCCCTTTAATGATCTGGCTAAGCGTCACTGCCTAATTTCTACTCTTCTTTCTTGGTCTCCCCTAAAGACTAGGTTAGCTTCCCCCGACCCCACCAATGTTTCTCAAAACAACTCTGTACTTATTCACTTGTCATCTTTTCCAATTTAACTATAAACGTTTTGTGGCAGAAATGTGACTTAGTCAATGTTGTACTCCTCTGTCTAGCATGCAGTAGGAACCCAGTAAATAAAAGTAGGAAAAATAGGTAGACAGTGAGCCACTAGGCTCACTTATGGAAGACCTCAAGGTACCGAAGAAGAGCCTGTTTACACCAATCATCCTTAAGCTTTTGCATGACTAAAAATTCCACTGCCATAATAAAATACAGCAATTTCTCAAGGAAGTCTACTATTTTATTTATCAAGCATCTAGTATCTACCAGGTCCTAGAACTACAGAAATGGATGTAATCCAGCTTTTGCTCTCAAAGTTGACTTATTCCACCCTTTAAATAAACTCTGAATTATAACAACAAAGCTAAAACATTAAAATTTATTAATAAGCCTCTTTTAAGAGTAGTGGAGTAGGAGGTAGGAAAGAAGGAGAAGTAACAAGTGTAAACTCAGAGAGCTCTTGAGCCCAATGAAGTATTTAACCAGGCAGTTCATTCTTGCATGGATTTTTTTCATCAAGATTAAGTCCAAAAGAGAATAATGGTTACTGTCTAAACTATCTGTATGTGGGCAAGCATGACATATCTTTGAAAATATATTTCAAAACTGGGGAGCAAGCAGTATTGGGGTTATTATCAAGGTCTTGATGCTCTCCTAATAAAACAGCGTACTCCCATTAGTTGAAAGGAAAGCATACAAAATGCTCTACTGCAGTCTCCACCTATGGAGAATGTAAGGAAAATGTTTTTTGTTTTTGTTTTTTTTTTAAAGATTTTATATATTTATTTGTGAGAGAGTGAGATCACAAGCATAGGAAAGGGGTAAAGAGAGAAGCAGTCTCCCCACTGAGCAGGGAACCCGATGCAGGACTCCATCCCCAGGCCCTGGGATCATGACCTGAGCAGAAGGCAAACACTTAACCAACTGAGTCACTGAGGCTCCCTAGAAAATGTTTTAAAAACTATTCTGGACTCCCTCTTACTAATTCTTTCATTCCCTTTCTTGACCTACATCAGGAAACTCTCCAACTCAATCACTTACATTTCAGAGAATGATTACTATTTAATCATATCAGAATCTAGCAGCTCCTTCAAAAAGGCCATATACTTTTGACAGTCCTATTACTCAGTCCTCAGTAATGTCCACCTTCATTTTTTTCCCTTACTTTATTTTCTTTTTAAATTTTTTTCCCTTACTTTAACCATTTTGTTCATGTTTTCTATGCCCATGTCTTCAGAATGATCACTAGTGTGGATAGTGGCTGCCATTGTAGAGGCAGCAGCCTGCCAAAGTCAGAAATTGTCTTGTGGCCATCTATCAGCACCATAATCTTTGGCCAATACAACTCAAGTTTTCATCAAATTTAAAATCACAGGGAGATGGCCATTGGTTCTATTTTAAATATGAAACATAATACACATTTTAACCTCTAATAAAAAGTGAATGTCATAAAAATCTGTATCTATGTAGTATGATGAAGTCAGAATTCACGTTTTAAGCTATTATCAGAATTGTTTAAACTTCCATTTCCCAACTGATAAGTGTTTTATTTATGTAAATAGCTTCAATTAAACATGCTATAGATTTTTCCCCAAGATGTTGTAGAAACCAAGACTTTGTAAATTAAATTATATTTTCTACCTCACATAAAAATTTCAGCATATGCTTGATTTCCAATCTTGAATTTGTAATTTAGCTATTCCAACTCAGTCAAATACAGTAATCTCTCATTTTTGATACTGTCTGGAGCAGGAATCCAACAGTGGAGCCCAGTTCTGCAAAAATGACCAATGCCCTTCCCTCCATTTCAGTGCTCACTTTAGCTTATTCTAGTATAAGCTTTACAACAATGTTGAGAATTTTTACAATAATTAAGGCAATATTAAATTCTAATGATATTTCACCTTTAAGTCTGAGTTCATGTTTGAGCTCCTAATGCTCTAATCCTTTTTTTTAATATAATAGCTAACATTTATTGATCATCTACTACGTGATTAGTCTTTCTGGCCACGTTAAATTGTATTATTTCATTTAATACAATTTACAACCTTCAAAGCTGATCCTATTATCCTTACTTTGCAGAGAAAGTAACAACAAAGAAATTAAGTCACTTGGAGATCACACAGCTAATAAGTGATGGAATCAAACAGATTCCAACTCAGGATTTCTGCCCTCGGGAGTCTAGAAGTCTCTTCTGTAAAACACTGGAAGTTGCTCACAAGCTGTAAGAGACTTTACATAAAAAATCTGACATCACACTAAATCTGTCATTTTGTCCTGGCTCCGGATCCCAAAATAGCTCAGGTAATCTTTCTTAACTGCATATTAGGGATAACGGTAACACTGATTTATTGAGGAGTTACATGAGTTAATACATTTAGGACAGAAGCTAGAAGATAGTAAACCTAGAAAACGCTGCCTCTTATCAATATCACCTCAGCCAACGCTTGCTGTGGGAAGATGGGAGGGACCCTACGTCGTCGGTGCATTTACTACGAACCAGGAAGCACTGCGCCCCTCAAGGAACGCCACCTTAGTGAATCTTCACCTTGGCCTAAGCAAGGTTACTACTACTCTTTCCCCCACTTAACGGATGCAGAAACTGACGCCTAGTAGACATCCAAGTCCTTAAACTGGTGAGCCGTGCAGAGAGGCGAGGTGCAAGCCCCGGAATCCTTCCGCGGATGGCGGGCGAAGTCTGCACCCGCCCGGACGCCGCGTCCGCCACCCCCGCCCCCCCGGACCTCCCCACCTGCCTCCCCCGCCCCGCTCGCCCGAGCCGCTCGGGGGAAAACACACCCCGCAAGGGCGTCCCCGACGCCCCCGACGCCTCTGACGCCCTCCCTCCAGGCCGCCTCACTTCCGCCGCGGCTCGGCGCCTGCACTCACGGCTACCTGAGATGAACGAGGCGTGGTAAGCGAGTAGGCGCTCCGGCTAGTGCCAGACTCCCAGCTTTCCGCGGCACTGAGGATCCAGAACTCCCCAAGTTTCCCCACCCATCGGGGCCGTCAGGAGCCAATGGGCGACGGGCCGCCCCGCTCGCAGCCAATGGGAAGACACAAGCACTTCAGGGAAAGAAGGCCAATCACCCAGCCAAGTCCTCTGCTAGACGCCCGGTGCACCCGAAGAGCTTGTGGCCCAAGTTGGCCGGGGCAACGTGTGTTTGGTTGGATTGGCTGGCGCGGCAGCGTGCGGAGCGCTGATTGGTCGCTGGGAATGGAATGATTTCTCGTGAGTTTGGGGTGGCGCGAGCCGGGCCAAGGTTCCCTGCCTGTGTGGGGTGGCGGGTGCGTGAGGCTCGGGCCGGGTTTCCCGCAACCAATTAATGGCGAAAAAAATTTGCGAGGCAGTAGAACCAGCTGGGAGAAACACGAACACGGGAGGGAGTGAATGACTATAGTGCGGGATAAGGCTGTCCTAAATTCAGAGGGCTGTGGAGATGTACTATCACGCGGCCGCATTCCCCCTCGCAGGACCAAAAGTCAGGTTAAAAAAAAAAAAAAAAAGAGAGAGAGAGGGAGAAAGAAGAAAAGGCGCCTGGACCCTGGATGACGGATCCTTCGGGCTTCCGCTTCCCATGACTTAGAGCTAATTGAGCTTCCGCCAAACGTTTGCCCTCAGATAAGGGAGATAAGAAGACCCCTTTGAAAATGGAGAAGAGGAGTGTGGCAGGTGGCTTTCGCAGCCTCGCGAAGTATTCTGGTTTTCATCTGACAAGGTGTTTGGCAAATCTGAATACTAAATATCGGTGTTTACAAATTATAGTTACTGGGATATTTGGTTTGAGGTCCAAGAGTATTAGGGCATGCAGCGCTGCACCGTTAGTCATTTTTGGTAGACTTGGCAGCGAGAACAAATAATAATTCATAAGTTTTTAAGTTGATGTCATTGAAAGAATCACCAAACACCACTTGCTAGTTATTATTGGCAGATTTCAAAAATCTTACCTCATTGTTAAAGCTTACCTCATCCAGGGCGCCTGGGTGGCTCGGTCCGTTAAGCATCTGCCTTTAGCTCAGGTGATGATCCCAGGACCCTGGGATGAGCCCCGCCTGGTTCCCAGCTCAAGTGGGGAGCCTGCTTCTCCCTCTCTCTCGGCACCCCCACCCCGCGTGCTCGCTCTGTCGCTCTGCTCTCTCTCTCAAATAAGTAAAATCTTAAAAAAAAAAAAAAAAATTAAAAAGCTTACCTTATCCATAAAAGGAATAATAATTTGGCTGGTGATTACTACTCCATTATTTCACATGTAATCATCTGAAAAACTCACCTACCTTGGTGATGGTGGGGAGGCTCTTAAGTGGATTCGGTGAGGTATAAAGTATGTAAGACCTTATACAAAGCACTTTTCCACACCGTCTGAAATTATTGTCGAATATGTATGCAAAGAAGGACCACGATAATGGTCAATAATAAGAGAGAAACAAGTGACTAGAGGCCTGGGCATAGCTCTTAAGTCAGATTCCTTAATTTCGCAGTAGCTGAACAGGTCTGACGGGACTCTAATACTAGAGCTCTTAAGCCTCACAAAACTTGTGATGTGCTTCACAGCTCTCTACTGGGCACCTGTGTGCAGCAGTGAAGACCAGGAAGGAAAAGACCAATATCTGCCCGGAAGGTTTACAGTGTATTGGTGGAGAGGAACAAGTCCTCAAAAAATAGAAAATTAGAATCTATTAGGTTTCAGCCATGAACACATTGCTCAACAACTCTGCAAATTCTCTCAAAGAACCTGGTAGAACAAATTTAAAACAAAATCAGCTTGGCTTTTGTTGTTGTCGTTGTTGTGTTGTTAAGAGTTGCTGCATAAAGTCATCACATTGATGCCCAGTAGGGAAGTTTTACTTTACCTTTTGTTCTTCATCTGTTTTTGTTAGAAAAAAGTTGTGGTAATTAAAACCATTCTTTATCTATCAAAGTAGAATACTACTGAAAGCAAAACTGCGGGTTCATAAAAAAGAACATCATCTGGAGCTATTATTGATGGCTTACTATGGACCAGGCGCAGTGCTAAGCATTTTACATATATTAACTCATTTAATCCCGATAACAGCCCTATAAGGTATGCACATTTATTACTGAACTCATGAGGGGACTGTAGTGTATAGGGTCACAGACAAGTCCCTCCTCCAAGTAGTTTGAAAATGGGGAAATAATATTTCTATACAGAGTTCAAGTATGAAAGAGACATAATGTACTTGATGAGCTAGATGAAAGGTCACCCTAAAATGACAAAACACTTCCCTGCCAAGCCCTGAATGTAATCAGACTGAACATATTAACATATCTAAAGAAAGAATTTCCAAAAAGAAAATAAAAAAAAATAGCAAAACACCAAAATAATATATTCACAATTTCTTACCAGGAGGTAATATATCTAGAAGTAAAAACAAAAACAAAAACAAAATAAAAACACACATGCACAAATATCCCTAACTACTTGAAAATTAAAAAAAAATTCTGGCTTCCAAATTCTTCAATCAAAAATAAAATAAAATATTACACATAATATTAATTACATGTAATATTAATAAAAATATTAATTACACATATACACATAATACATTAATTACACATAATATTAATAAAATACTTAACATATTAATATTAATAAATATTTACATTAATAAAAATAAAACCTCTGTATATCAAAACCAGGATATATGACAAATCCTATACTTAAATAACCTGACTCTGGAAAATCCATAGTGTTAATTCAATTCAACAAATATTTATTAAGTGCCTGCTATAGGAAAATTGTTGAAGCTGGGGCAGTTTATAATGTGACCCCCAGCCAATTCCAGAGCTGGACTTAATCCTGAACCTTTTATTTACATAATCCAGTAAATTTCTTTTCCTTTTTTTTAAGTCCGTTTGAGTTGATTTCGCTCATTTAGAGTGAAAGAGCCTTATTGAAACTAATATTACACTATATATTAACTAACTGGAATTTAAATAAAAACTTAAAAAAGAACAAAAATAGAATGAAAGAGACTTTAGGGAATAAAGGGCCCCTTTTCCCCTGCAACACTTTCTTCCTTTGTTCTATCCAGCAAAGGCCAGGAACCTGGTGAAAACAGGGAGGAGGAGGAAGAGTGTTGGGAGTAGACACCCTAGTGGCAGCTGTGCAAGAAGGAGGGACCTGAAATGTTCCATTTATAGCTATAGGAAGACAAAGGGCAGCTCCTGTACCTGGCTGGAGAAACTTACAGGTGTCAAACATTGACACATAGATTGGGAAAATAAATACATGAGAATTATCTATCTCCTCTGTTATTTCAAGGATCTCAAACATCCAAGACTGTGTTTAATCCAATTTCCTTAAGGCCAAGCTGTATTTTCAACAATCAGGTTCCATGAAATTCTCCTATATCCTTTCTATAAGCCTTCTTCAAGTTTTTTGAATGGGTTTCTGTTCCTTTTTTTTCCTTGCTTTTTTTTTAGGGATTATTTATTTATTTATTTATTTGAGAGATAGAGCACAAGCAGCGGGGGAGTGGCAGAGGGAGAGGGAGAAGCAGACTACCTACTGAGCAGGGAATCCAATGTTGGGCCTCCATCCCAGGACTCTGGGATCGTGACCTGAGCCAAAGGAAGATGCTTAACCCACTGAGCCACCTAGGCACCCCTGGCTTTCTGTTTCTTGTCATCAATCCCTGACTTTCACTGAAGAGCAAGGCTTGGCCCATCCCCCCCCCCCCCAAGGAGAGTTTTTACATGCTTAAACAAATGAATTAACATCAACTATGGTATTAACTACATGTTCTTGTCAAGGAAAGAGGCAGAAGGCTTTGAACAAATTACTAAACATAATCAGGCCTTCATTTCCTCACCTATACTATGGGATTAAGAACATCTCCTTAACAGGATAGTTATAATTGTTTGCTGTGGAGGCTGGAACAGTTTTTGGCACTGCGTGGGTTGTGGGGGCTGGGGAGGAACTCCTGGGTGAAAACATGAGTGAAGGTACAGAGCAGAGGTCCCCGAGTCTCCCCTGCGTCTGCAACATGGGAGGCACCTTGAAAATACAGACTTCACGCCCTATCCTGAAACTACTAGATCAGTCTTTGAGGGAGTGGGTTAGCAATGTGACTTCCAACATGCCCCACTGGATGATGTCACAGAGCTAATCTAAGACCAGTGTGACTAGAGTTCAAGAACTATCAGAAAAGAAAAGGAATCAAGGTTTGTGTGTGAAGATACCAAGCCAGACGAATACCTTCAGTGGACAAAATACTGAAGTGTCCATGGTATTAATTTTTGTTACTCAGTTTTTGTGCTTTGCTCTTTTGTGCTGTCTGCTCTACTATTTCCAGCTTTATACTCATTTATTTTAAAAAATACATACACTGGGGCACCTGGGTTGGTTAAACATCTGACTCAGTTGGTTAAGCATCTGACTCTTGATTTCAGCTCAGGTTATGATCTCGGTGTTGTGCGAGCAACCCCCCCTCACCCCCCTGCCCTAGTGGGCTCTGGGGTGGACATGGATCCTGTTTAAGATTCCCTCTCTCCATATTATGCTGAGCAAAATAAGTCAATCAGAGAAAGACAATTATCATATGATCTCCCTGATATGAGGAAGTGGAGAGGCAACGTGGGGGGCTTAGAGGGTAGGAAAGGAATAAATGAAACAAGATGGGATCAGGACGGGGACAAACCATAAGAGACTCTTAATCTCACAAAACAAACTGAGGGTTGCTGGGGGAAGGGGGGTTGAGAGAGGGTGGTGGGGTTATGGACATTGGGGAGGGTATGTGCTATGGTGAGTGCTGTGAAGTGTGTAAACCTGGTGATTCACAGACCTGTACGCCTGGGGATAAAAATACACTATATGTTTATAAAAAAATTTAAAAATTAAAAAAAAAAAAAGATTCCCTCTCTCCCTTTCCCTCTGTCCCTCCATCCTCACTCTAATACACACACACACACACACACACACACACACACACACACATATTTTTAAAAAAATTTTTTTAATAAGCTGA